AATTATTTATTTTTATGCTACCAATCATAGTCACCTTTATTCTCTCTTGTAAACCACTTTGCTCCAAGACATTATCCTACATAAAGGAGAAATGTAAGTTAAGTTGTTGTTTATCCCCCAAATTCCTCCTTTTATTGCATTTATTGTCCAGTGTTCTCAAGCCAGACACATTGCATTACAATTCACAAGTTTGCAAATCATTAAAAAATGGCATCCATTTGAAAGCAAGTAAGGGAGGCCAACAAGGTCACCCACCCCCACCCCCGACTGGGCACTCCCACTGCCCACAGCATTTTGTTCTGATTTACTCTCCACCTTTCCTGACATCAGGAATTCCAAAGTGATGCTTGGTTTGAATCGTTAGGGCAGTCCCGATGGTGCCGTGGTCCTATAGCTCAGTTAGAGCACTCGCTTTGCAAGTGAGAGACCTGAGTTCAATTCCAGGCAGAGGACCAAACCTTGGCAAGTTTCCTTACTCCACACAGAGCCTAATAATAATCCCTCCAAAACCAAAAACAATAATAAATTGGTCATTTTGAATCTACGACTGTTTGTGGGACATTGCTGTGCGCAATTGGCTGCCGCGTTCACCCCCAAATATACAGTCAATTCACTTTACAGTGTGTTCTGTGAAGCGCTTTGGGACGTCCTCCCAACGTGAAAAGCGCTATATCAAATGCAAGGATTATTATTATTATTATTATTAAAGCCTCAACTCACACAACATTAACAACAATAACGCCCTTTACGTGGGGTAGCGTCTCAGAGTGTTAAGACCTTGTTGGTTCAAATCCCAGTCAATGCTGAGTTTGCTGGGCTCAACCAGGGCTGCTGGGAAAGTTATATTGGCCCAGAGTTAGCCAGGGGAAACCAACTCCTGAGCCCTCTATAGCCACCCACCCTCTGGAACTCCATCGCGCAGGCCCTCCGTCTCGCCCCCTCCCTGCCACTTTCATGACCCACCTCAAGACCCTCCTCTTCGACCGTGCCTTCGATCTTGTGTGATGTGTTTTGTAGTGTCTGCTGTGTGGTGTGTGTTGTGTGGTGTGTGGTGTGTTTTGTCGAGTGTGTTATGTGGTGTGTTTTGTAGAGTGTGTTGTGTGGTGTGTTTTGTAGAGTGTGTTGTGTGGTGTGTTTTGTAAAGTGTGTTGTGTGGTGTGTTTTGTAGAGTGTGTGGTAATAATAATCCTTGCATTTGAAATAGAGCTGTTCACATTTTTGAGATGACTCAAAGCTCTTCACAGAATAGACTGTAAAGTGAATTGACTGTATATTTGTGGATAAAACACAATTTGTGCAGCCAATTGTGCACAGCAGTGTCCCACAAACAGTTGTGGATTGAAGTGACCAATTTATTATTGTTTTTTTTCTTGAGGGATTATTATCAGGCGTGTGGAGTAAGGAAACTTGCCCAAGGTTTTGCCCTCCTGGGAATCAAACCCAGGTCTCTCGCTTGTGAGGCAAGTGCTCTAACCACTGAGCTACAGAACTCCACCAGGACCAGGACCACCTTCCTCCACCTCCGCCTCTGACCATACCTTACCTCAAATGCAGCCAAAACTCCTCGTGCATGCATTTGTCACCTCCCGCCTGGATTACTCCCAACCCACTCCTCGCCGTCTCCCCAGCTCCACCATTCACAAGATCAGCTCATACTGACCCCAACCAAACTCCATCCCCACATCTCACCAGCTCTGGCCAAACGGAGCCACTTCAAGATCCTCACTTGTGTTCAAATCCCTTCACTCACTGCCACCTCCCGACCTCTCCAACCTCCTCACTCCCCAATCCGCCACCTGGTGCCTCCGCTCAACTAGCACTGGCTCCTGCTCGTCCCTCACACCCTTCCCCACCGTTGGAGGTCAATTCAAGATCCTCATCCTCACCTACAAGGCCATTCACAGCCTTACACCGTCCTACCTGTCCAACCTACTATCCCCTACTTTCCTGCCCGTACCCTCCATTCTTCTGGTTCAGGTCTGCTCACACCCCGCCCCAACCGTACTACCATCGGTGGTCGGGCCTTCAGCCTCTCAGCCTTGAGGCTCTCGAACTCCATCCCCCAGTGCCTTCGCCGCTTCCCCCCTTTCCTCCTTCAAGGCCGGTTTCAAGACCTTTCTCTTCAACCGTGCCTTCAGCTCCCCTCTCGACTCTCTACCCCCTCCTCACTGCCTCCCTTTCCTCCCCTCCTTGCTCCCTCCCTTCCTTCCCCTCACCCTGACCATTTCCCCCCTGCTCAGATCCCGACCCAACAGTCCAGCGCCTTGGGACGTCCTCCCGACGTGAAAGGTGCTCTATAAATGCAATCTTGTTGTTGTTGTTGTTGTTGTTTCAGCCACTACACCCCGAAACCCTGGAACACCCTTGTTCTAACTCTCCCATTTTCAAGTCCCGCCTGAAATTTTTCCTTTTCGACCGTGATTACAGCCACCTCCGCCCCCCCAAACCCACACACTCCCTGGCTTGGAGTCAGGCTCCACCACTGTTAAGCTCTGAGACACAGAGAGGCCAGAGGCAGAGCGAGAGAGAGAGAGAGAGCGCGAGGCCAGACCAGTGGCATTTGCTGGTGGGGAGAAAAGTAATACAAATAATTAGACAATTACTAAAAACACATTATTATTACCCAAAGAGTCTCAGGTCACTTACATCGTACACCGTGTACAGCAACCCCAGGGTCAGTGACAGCACAGGTTAGATGGATGTGTTAGCTAGGGAGGGGGATGTGTTACAACAACAACAAGATTACATTTGTATAGCGCCTTTCACGTCGGGAGGACGTCCCAAGACAGTGACAGCATTTCAGACCCGAGCTGGGATCAGGGGGAGAGGGGATGGGAAGGGGGGTGACCAATGCAGGGGGCTGTGATAGCCGGGGAGGGGGCTGTGATAGCTGGGGAGGGGGCTGTGTTAGCCGGGGAGGGGCAGTGGTAGCCGGGGAGGGGGCTGTGGTAGCCGGGGAGGGGGCTGTGGTAGCCGGGGAGAGGGCTGGGGTAGCCGGGGAGAGGGCTGGGGTAGCCGGGGAGGGGGCTGGGGTAGCCGGGGAGGGGCTGGGGTAGCCGGGGAGGGGCTGGGGTAGCCGGGGAGGGGCTGGGGTAGCCGGGGAGGGGGCTGGGGAAGCCGGGAGGGGGCTGGGGTAGCCGGGGAGGGGGCTGGGGTAGCCGGGGAGGGGCTGGGGTAGCCGGGGAGGGGGCTGGGGTAGCCGGGGAAGGGGCTGGGGTAGCCGGGAGGGGGCTGGGGTAGCCGGGAGGGGGCTGGGGTTGCCGGGGAGGGGGCTGGGGTAGCCGGGGAGGGGGCTGGGGTAGCCGGGGAGGGGGCTGGGGTAGCCGGGGAGGGGGCTGGGGTAGCCGGGGAGGGGGCTGGGGTAGCCGGGGAGGGGGCTGGGGTAGCCGGGGAGGGGGCTGGGGTAGCCGGGGGGGGCGGGTAGCCGGGGAGGGGGCTGGGGTAGCCGGGGAGGGGCTGGGGTAGCCGGGGAGGGGCTGGGGTAGCCGGGGAGGGGCTGGGGTAGCCGGGAGGGGGCTGGGGTAGCCGGGGAGGGGGCTGGGGCAGTGCACTACCCTTTGTTTGCAAACATAGCTGCAATGGATTAAGGTGGTACTGTAA